AATGAAAGACAAAAAAAAAAAGAAGAAAAAAATGCATTTTTTTTTTTTTTTTGGTTTTTGTTTTTGTTTTTTGGAAACAAACATTCATTGCAGTTTCTTAAGCGCTTTAGTCGCTAAATAGTTACAGTATACCCATTGTCAAATAGAATTGGAAGAAATAGAAAGTAACTGAAAATAGAGACCCATTGCAAACGCTCATAGCTGTTGAATATTCATGCGGAATATTGCAAACTCTCGTATGAATATTCATAACTGATTATTATTGCAAACTCTCACAGTTGCTGAAGATTCATATTGAGTATTGCAAAATCTCACTATTACTGAATACTCTTATGAAATATATACTTTTTTTTTAAATGGAGAAAATGGAAAAGGGAAAATTTATCATTTGCAATCTCTCTGCAGCAGAAGATCAACAGAGGCCAGTGTATGGAAATTACACTATCAGGCCGTGCAAACTTGCCTTCCTTTTCAAATTTGTAGATGCATCTTATGATGTATGACATTCAGGCAGAGAGTCTAGGGAATAAATTGTAAAAATAGAATGGAATATTTCCTATCTTATTAACACTTATGATATTCGTTCCATCACTTTTTTTCTTTCTTTTCCAAAATATCGTTTGTGAGTATTAATACCTTTCCATCACTTTCCTTTTTCTTTTCTTTTTTTCTTTTTGTTTTTTAAATATCATATTTGAGTATTAATTTCCATCACTTTCATTATTTCTTTCCAAAATATTATCTTTGAGTATTAATACTTTCCATGTGCTTTATCATTGGCGTTATCATTACTATCATCACCATCATAATACTTGTAATCTAAAAAAAAATCGAATATCATCATCATTATCGACAAAAAAATTATATATGTTTATTATCAATATTACAATATTATAGTCGTTGAATACCGATATCATCTTATCACCTTTAATCACAAATATTATCATGACTATTATTAAATGCAATAAGCTCCTTTTATTACGACTCCTACTTTTCTCTCTCCATGCAAATCATCATTAAGATGCTATAAGGAGATAATGAACTGACATTTTTACGAAAGCAATTTCCACGAATATCTCAACACACCTTTTTCGCAGATATTACTCGTGTCTTTCTGTTCCCAGTAGCTTCTCTCTCTCTCTCTCTCTCTCTCTCTCTCTCTCTCTCTCTCTCTCTCTCTCTCTCTCTCTCTCTCTCTCTCTCTCTCTCTCCTCCTCTCTCCTCTCTCTCTCTCTCTCTCTCTCTCTCTCTCTCTCTCTCTCTCTCTCTCTGTCTGTCTGTCTGTCTGTCTCTCTCTCTCTCTCTCTCTCTCTCTCTCTCTCTCTCTCTCTCTCTCTCTCTCTCTCTCTCTCTCTCTCTCTCTCTCTCTCCTCCTCCCTCTCCCCCCCTCTCTCTCTCGCACTCACGCTCTCTGTCTCTCTGATTTGATATGGGAAGAATCACACTTATTTTGATGAGACGAAGTGAGCCATTCTCCTAGATGTGATATATAGCCATATTCGAGGTTGCAAAGCATATGATTCAATTGCATTTCCAGGAGATATTATTGCAAAGAAGACTGGCAGTTGCAGCAATCTTGTTGGAATTGCTGGGATTTTTATTGCAAAGGAAGGGAAACATCGGAAGCGGGTTAAAGATCAAAACATTTTCAACACTCTATCAGTATATAGAATAAATCTATTCTCTTCCTAATGTATCTTTTGTGTAAGTAGTCAGGTCTTTAATGGTGTTATGTCTACGTAAGGCTGTACCTGTGAACACTAGACTGACGTTGTGTTATGCTGCCAATCAGGGGTTTTGCAAATTTATGTTACGTAACCTAGAATATGCCAGATGGAGGCCCTCAGGTTTTGGCACAGGAGAGTTCAAGAAGGAAATATATCTTTCTGCACAGGCTAATTTAAGTTCATTTTTTTTTCTAGCCTGTGCTGTCACTAGACGATTTTCGCAAGGATATGTTTTGACTAGAAACATTTTTGGCAAGTTTTTTAAAATTGTGAAAGACTCTACCAACTTAGAAAAAAAATGTGGTCAGTGGATTAAAACCATGATTTTTGTCTCCATAAGTTTTCACAGTCTCATTATAAGTCATGAGAGTTTTGTGTAGCCGATTTGCGCAGAACACATAGGAGTGTTATAATGTGCATAGGACACATTTTCCAGCTCGCTAACTAATATCATTGAGGACAATTTGACTCGCCTACCATAATAGAGCTTAAGAGGGAAACCATACCACAGTAGGACACAAGAGCAGAACATGGCATGGTGGGACAGAAGGGAAGGACATGACGGTGAGACTTAAGAACAACATACCATACCAAGGGAAGACTGAATATGATTGACGCTGAGGAAGACATACCTTGATGTGACGGGACTGAGGTGAAGAAGACATGATAAGGTAACACTTGATTCACTAGATCTGGGGTCTTCAAACATGAGCAATACAAGTGGGCAATTTCCACTCCTAAATGGGGGGGGGGGGATTTTCATTTTCTAATCA